CAACTTACTGTGAGACAGGTGTGGTTCAACTTACTGAGTGAGACAGGTGTGGTTCAACTTACTGAGTGAGACAGGTGTGGTTCAACTTACTGTAACACAGGTGTGGTTCAACTTACTGTGAGACATGTGGTTCAACTTACTGTGAGACGTGTGGTTCAACGTACTGTGAGACATGTGGTTCAACTTACTGTGAGACAGGTATGGTTCAACTTACTGTAAGACAGGTGTGGTTCAAGTTACTGTGAGACAGGTGTGGTTCAACTTAGCAAGACAGTTGTGGTTCACCTTACTGTGAGACACGTGTGGTTCAACTTACTGAGACAGGTGTGGTTCAACTTACTGTAACACAGGTGTGGCTCAGCTTACTGTGAGTGAGACAGGTGTGGTTCAACTTACTGTGATTGAGACAGGTGTGGTTCAACTTACTGAGTGAGACAGTTGTGGTTCAACTTACTATGAGACAGGTGTGGTTCAACTTATTGAGTGAGACAGGTGTGTTTCAACTTACTATGAGACAGGTGTGGTTCAACTTATTGAGTGAGACAGGTGTGGTTCAACTTACTGTAACACAGGTGTGGTTCAGCTTACTGTGGGTGAGACAGGTGTGGCTGAACTGAGACAGGCGAGGTTCAACTTACTGTGAGTGAGACAGGTGTGGTTTAACTTACTGTGAGTGATACAGGTGTGGTTCAACTTACTGTGAGTGAGACAGGTGTGGTTCAACTTACTGAAACACAGGTGTGGTTCAGCTTACTGTGACTCACACACACACACTCAGTGTCAGTGTCAGTGTGTGTGTGTGACTCAACAATCAATATTTGCACCAATAACTCACTACAGTTGTGACCGGGTGTGGAAGTGTGAATTGCTCATTACACTATAATTTGTTCATGATTGTAGCCATGTATAAACGTAAGTAACCATTCTTACAGAATTCATTACCTTTGTAACTTGTGAGCTCATTACCTTTGTACCTAGTTCAGCTATCAAAACTTTGGGGGCCCAGTACCTGGACCCATTACGTACATCTGTAATCTGTAAATACCTTTGTAACTTGTCATGATTGTGACCAGACCTACCTGGAGTTCATTACCTTCGTAACTTGTGAGCTCATTACCTTTGTACCTAGTTCAGCTATCAAAACTTTGGGGGCCCAGTACCTGGACCCATTACGTACCTCCTCTCCTTACGCCTTCCTCTTTGTATTGGACTGATGAAGCCACTGTGTGGCGAAACGTTTCCTGAATAAAGATTCCCATATGCTGCATAATTAATAATATGCTGCATAAGTGTCTCAATCTTCAACTTGTCGGTTTTTCAAACCATTCATCACAACTGTCAGACACTGCAGCATCATGGGATCTTGTTACAAAGAATTCTTCAACATTTGTTCAACCTTTGGACGAAGACCTACTTCGACTAGTGGATGGTACCACTATGACCCCGCCTACGCCTGCTTCACCTCACCTCACTACAGTATATAAGCCACGTCTATGGCCCTATGCTGTACATTCTACAAGATTGATGGACTGAACACATCGACTCCAGGCTGAGGGACTGATTACCTCATACTCCTCCTCTCCTTACGCCTTCCTCTTTGTATTGGACTGATGAAGCCACTGTGTGGCGAAACGTTTCCTGAATAAAGATTCCCATATGCTGCATAAGTGTCTCAATCTTCAACTTGTCGGTTTTTCAAACCATTCATCACACACATTACGTACCTCTGTAATCTGTAAATACCTTTGTAACTTCTCATGATTGTGACCAGACCTACCTGGAGTTCATTACCTTTGTAAATTGTGATTTCATTACTTTTGTAAATTGTGAGTTCATTACCTCTGTAACTTGTTCAGCTATCAAAACTTTGGAGTCCAGTCCCTGGACCAATTATGTACCTCTGTAATCTTTTGACTACCGCCCACAGGATGGGTATGGGGTGCATAATAAACATATTAAATTAAACTAACTTACTGTGAGTGAGACAGGTGTGGTTCAACTTACTGTGATTGAGACAGGTGTGGTTCAACTTACTGTGAGTGAGACAGGTGCTGTTTAACTCACTGTGAGACAGGTGTGGTTCAACTCACTGTGAGACAGGGTAGATTAACTTACTGTGAGACAGGTGTGGTTCAACTTACTGTGAGTGAGACAGGTGTTTAGCTCACTGTGAGACAGGTGTGGTTCAACTTACTGTGAGACAGATGTGGTTCAACTTACTGTGAGACGTGTTTACCTGGAGTTTACCTGGAGAGAGTTCCGGGGGTCAACGCCCCCGCGGCCCGGTCTGTGACCAGGCCTCCTGGTGGATCAGAGCCTGATCAACCAGGCTGTTGCTGCTGGCTGCACGCAAGCCAACGTACGAGCCACAGCCCGGCTGATCAGGAACTGACTTTAGGTGCTTGTCCAGTGCCAGCTTGAAGACTGCCAGGGGTCTGTTGGTAATCCCCCTTATGTGTGCTGGGAGGCAGTTGAACAGTCTCGGGCCCCTGACACTTATTGTATGGTCTCTTAACGTGCTAGTGACACCCCTGCTTTTCATTGGGGGGATGGTGCATCGTCTGCCAAGTCTTTTGCTTTCGTAGTGAGTGATTTTCGTGTGCAAGTTCGGTACTAGTCCCTCTAGGATTTTCCAGGTGTATGTAGTTCAACGTACTGTGAGACATGTGGTTCAACTTACTGTGAGACAGGTATGGTTCAACTTACTGTAAGACAGGTGTGGTTCAACTTACTGTGAGTGAGACAGGTGTGGTTCAACTTACTGTGAGACAGGTGTGGTTCAACTTAATGTGAGACAGGTGTGGTTCAACTTACTGTGAGACAGATGTGGTTCAACTTACTGTGAGACAGGTGTAGTTCAACGTACTGTGAGACATGTGGTTCAACTTACTGTGAGACAGGTATGGTTCAACTTACTGTAAGACAGGTGTGGTTCAACTTATTGTGAGTGAGACAAGTGTGGTTCAACTTATTGTGAGTGAGAGGTGTGGTTCAACTTACTGTGAGTGAGACATGTGTGGTTCAACTGAGTGAGACAGGTGTGGTTCACCTTACTGTGAGTGAGACAGGTGTGGTTCAACTTACTGTGAGAGAGGTGTGGTTCAACTTACTGTGAGACAGGTGTGGTTCAACTTAATGTGAGACAGGTGTGGTTCAACTTACTGTGAGTGAGACAGGTGTGGTTCAACTTACTGTAACACAAGTGTGGTTCAGCTTACTGTGAGTGAGACAGGTGTGGTTCAACTTACTGTGAGACAGGTGTGGTTCAACTTACTGTAAGACAGGTGTGGTTCAACTTACTGTAAGACAGGTGTGGTTCAACTTACTGTGAGTGAGACAAGTGTGGTTCAACTTATTGTGAGTGAGACAGGTGTGGTTCAACTTACTGTGAGACATATGTTCAACTTACTGTGATTGAGACAGGTGTGGTTCACCTTACTGTGAGTGAGACAGGTGTGGTTCAACTTACTGAGACAGGTGTGGTTCAACTTACTGTGAGAAAGACAGGTGTGGTTCAACTTACTGTGAGTGAGACAGGTGTGGTTCAGCTTACTGTGAGTGACAGGTGTGGTTCATCTTACTGTGAGTGAGACAGGTGTGGTTCAGCTTACTGTGAGTGAGACAGGTTTGGTTCAACTTACCGTGAGTGAGACAGGTGTGGTTCAACTTACTGTAAGGTAAGACACATATGCAACAGTTAGGTATCTTATTATGAAACGTTTCGCCTACACAGTAGGCTTCTTCAGTCAAGTACAGAAAAGTTGATAGAAGCAGAAGATACTTGAAGACGATGTAATCAGTCCATCACCCTTAAAGTTTTGAGGTGGTCAGTCCCTCAGTCTGGAGAAGAGCATTGTTCCATAGTATGAAACAATATTGTTTCATACTATGGAACAATGCTCTTCTCCAGACTGAGGGACTGACCACCTCAGAACTTTAAGGGTGATGGACTGATTACATCGTCTTCAAGTATCTTCTGCTTCTATCAACTTTTCTGTACTTGACTGAAGAAGCCTACTGTGTAGGCGAAACGTTTCATAATAAGATACCTAACTGTTGCATATGTGTCTTACCTAACAACCTGTCGGTATTTTATACCATTTTAATGTTCAACTTACTGTAACACAGGTGTGGTTCAGCTTACTGTGAGTGAGACAGGTGTGGTTCATATTACTGTGAAACAGGTGTGCTTCAACTTACTGTGAGACAGGTGTGGTTCAACTTACTGTGAGTGAGACAGGTGTGGTTCAACTTACTGTGACACAGGTTTGGTTCAACTTACTGTGAGACAGGTGTGGTTCAACTTACTGTGAGACAGGTGTGGTTCAACTTACTGTGACAGGTGTGGTTCAACTTACTTTGAGTGACAGGTGTGGTTCAACTTACTGTGACAGGTGTGGTTCAACTTACTTTGAGTGAGACAGGTGTGGTTCAACTTACTGTAACAGGTGTGGTTCAGCTTACTGTGAGTGAGACAGGTGTGGTTCAACTTACTGTGAGACAGGTGTGGACCAACTTACTGTAAGACAGGTGTGGTTCAACTTACTGTGAGACAGGTGAGGTTCAACTTATTGTGAATGAGACAGGTGTGGTTCAACTTACTGTGAGTAAGACAGGTGTGGTTCAACTTACTGTGAGTGAGACAAGTGTGGTTCAACTTACTGTAACACAGGTGTGGTTCAGCTTACTGTGAGTGAGACAGGTGTGGTTCATCTTACTCTGAAACTGGTGTGGTTCAACTTACTGTGAGTGAGACAGGTGTGGTTCAACTTACTGTGAGTGAGACAGGTGTGGTTCAACTTACTGTGAGTGAGACAGGTTTGGTTCAACTTACTGTGAGTGAGACAGGTGGTTCAACTTACTGTAACACAGGTGTGGTTCAGCTTACTGTGAGTGAGACAGGTGTGGTTCATCTTACTGTGAAACTGGTGTGGTTCATCTTACTGTGAAACTGGTGTGGTTCAACTTACTGTGAGTGAGACAGGTGTGGTTCAACTTACTGTGAGAGAGTCAGAAGCGGTTCAACAAACTGAGAATGAGTCTGGTGGTCCAATGCTCACTATGAGCTCTCAAGTACGGAGGTCAGATATAATGTGGAGTGGCATCACTGGTGTTCTCATGTCCCTAATGCCCCAGCGTAACCTCGCCTCCCTCCAGCCTTCCCCAGGCTTTCATGGCCGTGAAATTCCACCGGAAGTGTGTATCAGTACACCCCGGAAGTGTGTATCAGTACACCAGTATCTCTCACTTTGACCTTGCCGGTATTCCCTCCCATCCCCTTCTGAGTACCTCCTTCCATTCCTTTAATCTAAAATTATTTTTAATTCTTCTGATTTTGTTCTTTTATTACTCAAATCAGATCAGATACTTTTGAAATGAGAGTTTACTTTGCGGCACGTAATTATAATAATATCTTTATTTACAGAAGTACATGTACAAAGTATACAGGCCTAGCTGACATCAGTGACAATCTACTATATAGAAAGTCGCTTTTGGGAAATTTGTCTGGGCTGCCTCCTATTAAGCTGCTTCCCTGGCAGTCCTGTTAAGATAAGATAAGATTTCGTTCGGATTTTTAACCCCGGAGGGTTAGCCACCCAGGATAACCCAAGAAAGTCAGTGCGTCATCGAGGACTGTCTAACTTATTTCCATTGGGGTCCTTAATCTTGTCCCCCAGGATGCGACCCACACCAGTCGACTAACACCCAGGTACATATTTGCTGCTAGGTGAACAGGACAACAGGTGTAAGGAAACGTGTCGAAATGTTTCCACCCGCCGGGAATCGAACCCGGGCCCTCCGTGTGTGAAGCGGGAGCTTTAGCCACCAGGCCACCGGGCCACAGACACAGACACTCGGAGACTAATCCTCTCAGAGCTCACAAGTGGCTTATAGGACACATTTCCATATAGCTGAACTTGCAAGAAATTCCCTTCTGCATGCACGACCAAAAGGGTTAACTTACTTAGTGGAGAAGAATGTGTCTTCCAACCTCCCTTAGCCTTAGTCCCTCTGGCCTCTCCCCTTCTAGTCACCACGTGCAGTCAGATTTAATTCTTGCAATATTCAGTCGCTATTAGGGCCCTGCCGCCCCAAAAATTTCCCTGTTTCCCAAAGGGGGGTGAAAAATCCCCTAGTATAATTTATTCATAAGAGACACTACTTCTAAGCTTGCATTTAAAATTTTATTGGCTTACAAACTATTTAACACAAAATTAGTCAAAAGTACAGTAGAATATTAATTAATCATGTTGTACAGAAATTTACAAATTTTAAAATTGAATCTAATTTTATAAGACAAAAGAAATTCGTATGTTTAAAAAATGCTTTATAAAACAGTGATTAAATTATATTCCTGTCAACAATAGAAAAAAAGGTCAAAGTAATTGTTGAATTATGATGGGGAATAACATAAGTGAGTAGTGGCACTAGTATTTAGCATTTATCTAAATCTTTTTCTAAGTGTACGTCCAACTCCCAAACCAAAAACCCCCCCATGTTTTTCTTTTGGGGGTGATGTGAGGGCCTCAAGGGTCTATCCGTAAATTTTTAGGGCCTCCATAGGGCCTATTTCCCCTTGGAACTTAAGACGAATAATTTCCCCACACCCTTTTTATGCGAATTTCCCACAAATCCAGAAATAAATTAGAGTATAATCTTTAATAAAGATTAGTACGTAAATCTGCCTAAAACCAAACTTCGAATGGGCCACTCAAACAATATGAAGTCAACGAGGAAATTTTCAATGCCAGAATGGGAAAACTTGAAAAAATTTTAAAAATGTGTCGGGGTAACCACAAGCTCTAACCAACAATAACAAAAAAGTAAGTGAAGGACCGAAGGATAAGTCAGGGATCTCACCTTCAAAGACCACAACATCTCGGGTGAGTGGTTGAGGGGTTTAAACGGGGGTGGGGGTCTGGGCCTCTTTTCGCAGGCCCCCCATTTCTCCGACTGATAAGTCTCATTAAACTCCCCCCACCGCCACCCCCGGGAACAACAACAACAAAAAACATGGGTGACCCCCCTCCAACCCACTCCCTTCAAAAGGGTTCCCCATGAAACTCATTTTATTATCCCACAATATCAGGACTTTCATCTTGCCAAAAAAATAAAACAAAAATACAAAGCAAAAACTCGGCGACGAGGGAAACCAAGAAAAACCCAAACCCCGGAACAGATCCAAAACCTTAAAAAGAAATTACATTGGGAAGTGTTTTCACAGAAAAAAACTTAAAAGCAGCTATAGCCAGTCACACTGAGCAAAAAAACAACAAAAAATTTGAAAGGGTTTAAGAAGCAATCAAGACTGGAAACAAAAATGCCACCCCGACAAATAAAAACCCTTTATTTCCAAGACGACAAAATGAACAAATAATTGTTGATGCAATTATAATAAACAGTCCACACATTTTCCCTTTACATAAAACAAAAAACAGTGCAAAGAAATGCTTTAGGTAATACGAACCATTACAATTTACGTTTCAAAACAAGAAATCAAAGAAAACGTTTGTTTTTTAGGAAAACCGAATAAACACAGTAAATAAACCCTTCTTCATACCTAAAAAAAGGGCCCAATTAAATAGTAATTACAATGAAAAATGGGTGTACATAAATGAGTGTCTAACAAAAAAAAAAGTCAAAAACCTTTTTGTTCAGGTGAGAAAAATTAAACAGGAAAACAAAAAACATCAGTGTTTCACCCCCGGTGGGGAAAAAACCAGTAAGGAAAAACAACAGGACAACAAAACCATCTCAAATGAACAGATTTCCTACCTTCCTTAGAAAAGCTGACGTTTCTGTAAAAACTAATAAGGCCCTTTTTATTTATTTATTCCCTCAGGGAAAGGGTTCCTTGATGTTGGGGGGGGGCCTTTTATTTTGGGAATTGGATCGTGCTCCATTCCCCAAAAAGCCGAATGCCTTCCACATCCCCCCCCCAGGGGTGTAAACCTCCGGGTTTAGCGCTTCCCCCTTTATTTAAAAAAAAATATTTATTTATTTTTTTTTTTAAAAATTGGCAACTTCAGAGGTACAAAAAAAACAGAAAGACAATGCCAAAGCCACTTATACTTTGCATAGATTACGGGCTGGCTTAAAATTAACTTTAAAATTAACTAAACAATGATGAAACATGGAAAACTTTAATGAAACAGATTACTATAAAGCACAAGTAGTATTACAAAGCCGGCATACGGTTTTAAACATTGTTGTACATCTAGAATGGGTATTTTTGTTAGGTAGTGTATTTAAAAAAAAATAAAGTTAGATTGGGTTTTGGTTTAACATTTATGTGATTAAATTGTGAGAAAAAAATTTAAGATATACAATTATAAGGTTCATTATTCATATTTTTTTTGGTTTTGGGTGAGTAAGGATCTTTGGAAGAGCTTGAATTTTTTAAAAAAGGGGTGTTTCTTTTTTATTTTCAGGTAAGAATTCCAATTTTAGGGCCTTTTATGTTTACCTGGAGTTTACCTGGAGAGAGTTTCGGGGGTCAACGCCCCCGCGGCCCGGTCTGTGACCAGGCCTCCTGGTGGATCAGCGCCTGATCAACCAGGCTGTTGCTGCTGGCATTGAGTTTTGGGTGAGTAAGTGATCTTTGAGAAGAGACTTGAATTTATAAACAGGTTGTGTTTCTTTTATATTTACAGGTAATGAATTCCAGATTTTAGGGCCTTTTATGTTTACCTGGAGTTTACCTGGAGAGAGTTTCGGGGGTCAACGCCCCCGCGGCCCGGTCTGTGACCAGGCCTCCTGGTGGATCAGCGCCTGATCAACCAGGCTGTTGCTGCTGTGCATTGAGTTTTTGCATAGTGTGATATGGACACGAGGAACATCAAAGAGTGATCTGTGCCTTGTGTTATGGTCATGTGTTCTGTTGAGGTTGGCAAGGAGATGTTTGAGGGGAGGGTTAATATCAGAGTTAAGTGTTCTATGTATGTAATAGGTGCAGTAATAAGTATGGATGTTTTGTATGGTGAGTAGGTTTAGTGTATTGAATATTGGTGGAGTGTGCTGCCTATAGTGAGAATTTGTTATCATTCTAACTGCAGCCTTTTGTTGGGTAATTAGTGGTCTGAGATGGTTACTTGTTGTTGAGCCCCATGCACAAATTCCATAGGTGAGATAGGGGTAAATAAGAGAGTGATATAGGGCCAGGAGGGCTGACTGTGGGGCATAGTACCGTATCTTCGATAGTATGCCTACAGTCTTGGAAATTTTCTTAGAAATTTGTTGTATATGTGTATGAAATTTGAGTCTATTATCAAGGTGGATTCCTAAGAATTTTCCCTCTGTTAGCTTTGTGATAGGTGATCCGTTAATCATTATGTTAAGAGGGACATCTGTAGCTCTGTTACCAAACTGAATGAAGTAGGTTTTGTCAATGTTTAGTGTAAGTTTGTTAGTCCTCATCCAGGTAGATATTTTCTGTAATTCGGTATTACAGTATTGGCTAGCGTGACTGGGCTCGGGTGGGAGAAGACGTATGTAGTGTCATCTCCCAAATAGTGTGGGTTTGAGTAATTGCGAAGCATTTGGTAGGTCATTTATGTATAGGAGAAAGAGAAGAGGGCCAAGGACACTTCCCTGTGGGACACCAACTGTAATTGGTTGTGCAGAAGAGTTTGCCCCATTTGCATACACATATTGGCTTCTGTTGCTGAGGTATGACTTGAGGTAGTTGAGGGAGTGCCCTCTTATACCATAGTGTGACAATTTTACGTGGAGCAAGTCATGGTTAACTGTATCAAAAGCTTTACGTAAGTCAATGAAGATCCCCAGTGGGACTTCTTTTTTCTCTATTGCAGTGTATATATGTTCTAGCATGTGTATAATAGCATCATTAGTATTTTTATTTGGCCTGAATCCAAATTGGCAGGGGTTGAGTATGTTTTGGGAGATAAGGTAGGAGTAGATTCGTTTATGAATTAATTTTTCGAAGATTTTTGAGAGAGGGTGTAAGTTGGATATTGGCCTATAGTTATTCAACTCTGTTTGGTCTCCTCCTTTGTGGATCGGGGTGACCCTTGCTATTTTGAGTACTGTAGGGAAGGTGGAGGATTCAATGGATTTGTTAAAGAGTGTTGCAATGATTGGTGATACGTGTGGTGCATATAGTGTACGTTACTATTATATTGTGCATT